GGAAAGACGTACCAACGCTGTCCACACTGATCTCAATCTTCGGACTCATGATCTTGTACCAGCGGTATATGCACCATATCAACCACCTGCTGCCCTCGAAGCTGCCGGTGCGGCAGAAAGGGTGCGTGAAGGAGGCGGAGGGCGTGAAGTATGTCTCGAGGGTTTTGCGTTGGGTGGAGGGCGGGGATTGCGTGAGGAGGTGGATTACTTGGGGTATCTCTGCTTCTGTGCTCGGGTTAGCTGAGGGTGTTTGCATTGTAGATGATGGGGCTGGTTTACGTGGGTCTTCCATGACCGTGGAAGGTGGTGGAGGTGGTGGGCGTGGGACGAGGGTTGTAGGTCTTGGAGAGAGGGGATGAGATGGTGAGGAAGCACGGTGTGGGAGAAGTGTCTGAGGCTTCTTAACAGTCTCAATTGGGAGGAGAGACAAGTTGAAAGTATGGAATTGGCGGAAAGCTCGTGATCTCATCGAAGCCCTGAAAAAAGAGCCCTAGAGCTAGAACGTTTACGGAAAACGGTACTACTGCGAATCAGTTGACAACGTGATCGATTGACAGACAGATCCATTTCTTCTCTTCTAATAGGCTGGAAGCTTGAACATGGAAGGTTTCACACCCTGATTCGTCAACACCAGAAACCCCTATATGCCACAATGTTCTACATGAGATAGCCGATTTTGGCCTGATCATCTCTCTCCTTCACCTCCAATTTTTGTTCAGTCAATTTTGATAGATCCATAAATTCTTTGCACGAATACCCAACTCGAGAAGAAGCCGATAGTTCCTACATAACGTATTAGCTCTGTGATCTGGCCTTCAGTTGCTACTCGGACTCACCAGTCAAAATGAAGAACAGGAAGCTGATCAACAGACTATACCCCACATAGAGCACCCCGGACGTGAAGCTCCCGAAGCTTAGCTTGCTAATCCAGTATAGCAGCGCATTGGCGAACACATAGAACGCGCTTGCTCCAGCCGTACAGAAAGCTCTCCATTGCCAATGATAGTTCTCACTACAAAGTAAGAAGTAGACGAGCAAGACCGTAACGGCGGCGCAGGTGATTATCATAATGCCGTAGCAGAGAAAGAGGAAACCGAACATGTAGTATACCTTGCCAAACCACATGTTGTTCATGATGAAGTATAGCTCAACGAAGATGGCGCCGAAGGGGAGAATTCCGACGAGGAGCATGGAAGGGATGGGCCGGAGGTAAGTGGTTGAGGGAGGGATTTGGCGGGGGATTTGATTGACGCGGACAGGAGGTTGGACGGGCTGAAGCAGCAGTCAGCACTGTCTGCTCTAGGTGAGCTTATGGATCTGACTTACAGCATGCCTGAAGCCTATCCAGCTACCTGCGAAGCTGAGAGGGACACTAATGACAAACCAAATACCCAGGATCACGAGCATGGTCGTGAACGGTACCGCGCCACTCGATCGTTTGGCCCACAGGAAGAGGTTGAGCATGAAGAAAGTGGCGAAGACAATTCCAGGAATCATGACGGGCGTCATGGCAATATTTTGCTTCCACTTCTCGCCGCCGAACGACTTGTAGACGCGCGCGGAGACGTAGCCACCAATGACGCCGAAGACTGTGTAGAGTAGAATCATGACGGTACCGAGAGACCCACGGTTCGAGGGAGAAAGAAAACCGAGAAGGGCGAATGTGATGGTAGTACCGACCATGACGAAAAGCTGAGAGCCGTTCCCCAGGAAGATACTCAATAGCAAAGGGTTCTTGGGCGTCCGAAAAACGTCTCCATGTACCAGCTTCCAGCCTGAATCTTCTTGGATGTCATTTTCGGCGTCGCCATTCGTGCCTGAGAGATCATCCAGATTGAATGAGTCGAGTCTGTTGTATCGGGCAATGTCCTTTTTCAGTGCTCGCACGAGGATAGCTCCAACCATACCTAAACATCCGTCATTAGTGTGTATGTCAGCGCACTTTTTGAGTGAAGGGCAGCTTACCGCAAAGGAAGACCACAATAACCGCTGAGTTCACCAACGAAAACCAGTGAATCCTCGGATCGAAGACGTGAAGATAGCTATCCCATCGAGTGGCCCATGCAGTCTTCGACTCGCGCCAATATACGCCATAGGTCCAAGTGACAGAGGTGTCTCCATTCTCATCGAGCAAAAGGTGCTGTTCTGGGTTACCACAATCTCCCTTTCCACTACCCAAGCTTTTAGATCCACTCCTTGAGGATGGGATCACCAGAACGCCAACAACTCTGTACTTGTCGCTGCCAGCTTCATGGTAATCAATCACAATATCGAAGTGGTTGTTCAGCACTGCTTTCTTATCCTTATCCACCATCCCAAGAGGGAATCCTCGGAGGGTGAAGTCCGTGTTCGTCGAAGGGTCTGTGTATGGCTGCCCAGCTGGAAGGCCATCAATCAACCAATTGAGATTGTAATTCTGCCATATTCTCCTGTTCACAAATTTTGCGCTTCGTTGATCAAACTTTTGTTCCTCGCATAAAGCCTTGCAGGTCTCATTTTCCATCATTTTCAGCTCGAAAGGCGAAGTAAGTATCCGATCTCCGAACAATATGCTTCCCAGTGATTCTGATACATCTCTTGGTCCATCTGCGGGCCTGCAAAATCGGAACGCGGGATGATAGTAGTCGAAGGAGAAGACTGAATGTAGTTGGGAATCCTTGTCAGACAGTGCTGGTGTGAGATGGTTGACATTGAGTTCGACCTTGTCATTGGCCTTGTATGTGGTTGGCGCAACACCCGGTAAGTAGAAAGCAGAGGCGCTGGAAAGGAAGAAGGTCAATATAGCTGCGCCAGAGGCAAGCCGACCTTTCGAGTACATTGTGACCAAGTTCCAGGCGGCTGTGAGACATAGAGTCAGCTCAGATGTGATCCTTAATGATAAAATCTTCAATGTTGGCAAGCTTCAAGTGGTACGGACCTGCCCGATCTACGACCTGGCGCTCAAAGCCTGCTTCTGCGTGATATAAATGTGCAGCAACGTGAAAGATACTGAGACTCAAAGGAATGTCAAAAATTTGCGGGTCTCTATTTGAGAAAGAAAGCTGGCCTCCTGTAGCGATTAAATTCAGGCTCGCCTCGCTATTGGTTGGTCTTGCCGCTCCGCGCCTGGAAACTTTTAGCGATAGGTTGGGCTTGGCATCGGTACAATCGTAAAGCAGGCCTTCAAAGTCTTCAACAATAAAGATAGTCATTTGGATTGAGCAGGTATCAAATTTTCAGACATATTATGTCGTATCTTCGATATGAGAGTAACCAGAACCACACCATGCTTGGTTCTGGTTTGCGATGCCAATTGGTGGCTACAAGACGTGGGGTGTGATGTTTCTGACTGCTGCTGTACAGTTGGCTCCAGACCCATGAGCTATCCAACCCCCGATGCGTGCGTAAGGATCATAACGCCTGAGGCAACCTCCGAACAAAAGCATGAGCATGATGCCAGCAGAAAGAGGTGAACGCATCCGTCAACATTGCTCATACTAGGCCATCGTACAGTGATAGTGCCGAAACTATTGTTTCATCACGCTTGCTGCCTTCCTTGAACTCAGCCATGTCCAGCGACCCATTCTCGTCCTTGTCCATCATTTTGAAGATCTTCCGAACCCGTTTTTCTGGTGTGTCTTCGTCGGCTGGGAGCTTGACCATCGAACCAACCTGTAAGATTGTAAGCCGCTGAATACGGACAGCTAAGAACAAAATCCGGCATACCATCTTGTATATCGCTTCCACGATTTGCAGCATTTCACTGTAGCTTATCTCACCGTCGCCATCAATATCGTAAAGTTGGAATGCCCAGTCCAGCTTGTCCTCCATCTTCCCCCTCGAGGTGACACTCAGTGCGCATATGAACTCTTTAAAGTCGATGGAGCCTGACTTATCTGAATCGAAGACGTTGAAGACGTAGTCTGCGAAAGAGGTTGGGTCGCCGAAAGGGAAGAATTGCTTGTAAATCTTTTGGAATTCCTCTTTCGTGAGCATGCCGCTTGGACAGTCTTTGAGGAAGCCTGTACCTCACATTAGCATAGATAAAATCCTAGGCAGGTAAAGCATTATAGCTAACCCTTGTACCATTGCTGGAGCTCCTTCTTGTCGAAATGCGTGTCCTTCTGAAGCTGGTTCAATTCCTCTTGGGACAACTTCGACTGACTGATCAGGTGCGTCAGTAGTGTACGATTAGTCCCACGTCTGTGATTCTACGCATCGACTTTGCTTTCGACTGTGTAAGAGATAGAAAAGGCATGCTGCAAAGAATGCTATGACTGTAAACCAGCATGATCGGTCCTCTCTCAGCACTTTCGGAATGCCGGCCGGACCGCAGCTCCTCCATGCGGCTCTCTCTTTGACAGCTGGGTGGCTTGGGTTGTAGACATTTTTGAAGGGCTTGTAGAGGTTGCCGGCAAGCACGCAAGGCTAGGCGTGTGAGACATTCTGCGCTCTGCTGGATCGCCATTTCCATCTTGTATCCTTGCTTCATTGTTGCAAAAGAGAGTGCGCGCTGACGATGCAGAAATACAAGGGCAGGGTTTCGGTCTATGGCGACGCCGGGACGATAGCACCACGCCGACCGCACTGAGAATCGCACAGGCTGAGAATGGTACACCACTTACCGATTTCCCATTCTAGGAAGTGCTTCCACCAGACAGCTTTATAAGTCCTATTGTTAATCCTGCGCAATACTTGAGGGTCTAGGAGCGTATGGTATGGCAGATCTCGGCCGTGTAAGCAAGAGGCGGGACAGGTGTGAGACGAAGGCGGGAGGGGAGAGTGTCAAGAGATCAGTTGCTACGTCTCTTCAATAGGAATCTAGTCGTCTAGACGTGTCAAAGCTTGATGATTGAAGAAGAACAAGGAACAAGGGAGGGTCTACGCTGAACGCAGGGAAAGACAAGCGCCGAGGGACAGGAACAGAACGAGGGGTTCCAGACCCATTTCAACCGAACCCCAAATATTTCTCGATGTCGTAATTCCACCGACTTTGATACGTTTCAGCGTCATCTGAAGCTATGAATAACATCATACAAGCCCAGCTCGACAGGGTAGAAACGGCTTTGAATACTCTCATAGAATCAATCGCCTCCTACAACCCCTCCATCCCCGCAGCAAACGCTCTCCTAGCTGCAGACGACGATCTAAACGAAGGTCTCCAACAATGTATGAACAAACCTTCCGGATCCCAGAAGACCCTGCCACCAGACTTTGTTTACGCCTCGTACGAGTTGACATTTTAGTAGTATCAACCCACCAACATAATCACGCCCGCATTCAGTCCCTTCGATTAACAATTGACCAGCAAAATGCATCCATAACCGACACCCTCACGGCCCTCGCCTCTACGCGCGCAGACCTGCTCTCTATTCCATCATCCCTGCCACAAAAAGATGCACGCAATGTCCCCTACAACGAGCTTCTCGACTATGCGAAGCGTATAAGTCGCTACACGGTTCCCCCTGCATTCCGGCATGCTTTACCACCTGCACAACCAGCTATCCCCGCTGCTGTCAATGGCGATACCGTGGCGGTAGAGGAAGGAGCGGAAGATAGCAAAGAAGAGAAGGAAGGCATGGGAACCGCATCGTTAGAAGACATAGAGCGCAAATGGCTGGATCCTCTCACCCAGATTCCCTTCGTGCCATGGGTGAGCGACGAGACCATCAAAAGAGGCGCGTTGGCTGAGATACAAAGCATGGTTGAGAGGGGGGACGATCCGGAGAATATGGGAGCTGGAGGTTCGAAGGAGGAGAAGGGACAGACGATGGAGATAGGGGAAAGTGAGGATGCGGCGGGCAAGGAGGGCGATATCAGCGCGGATGGAGGAATGGGGATGCAGAGAAGGGAGGAGAAGCCAAAGGTGTTCGGGGGGTTGGACCTTTATGATCCCGACTCGCCTGATGTAGACGATGATTGATGTTCAAGCACCTATCGAGATAATTCTGTAGTCATATCTTCGGACACGATTCAAGATGAATTGGATTCGCAAGCTCAAGAATGGTACGAATGACATGTGCTTGACAATGCTTTTGATCGCCTATCACTGTACAGTTACTGGAGCCATCTTTGATTCAGCACTGCTGTGTTTCATCACAGCAAAGCAGCTGCCTACAGCGTGATGACCAGCTTCTTCCCACTCAAGCCTTTCGCGTGGATATCCAGCGCTTTCTGCACGGACTGAATACCGCCATCGATTGCTTCAATCCCAGGACTTGGCACAAACGTCTTTTCCTCTAAAGATTTCGCTAGCCATTCATTGAACAGCCAGTGCCCGAATTCCTTGTCAATGCATATCTTCGCTGCAAACGTGTGCGAAATTTCCACCCCTGCTGGCTTCCTGGCATCTTCAGGGTATGGAAGTGTAAGGCAAAGCTTTCCGCCGCCAAATGCTTCGAGAATTTCGGCACACTTGGGTGCACTCCCGTGCTCAACGATGGCGTCATATGCGACGACAGCCTGCTGGTTTGAGGCTTTCAAGGATTGTGTAATGTCTTTGACGACAGAGGAGGAGTTGTAGTCGAACGTCTCATGAGCGCCGAGCTTTTTGACCATGGCGCTGTGGCGAGGACTGCATACTCCGTAGACCGTGTAGCCAAGAGAAGCAGCGATCTGCACAGCAGCTGTACCGACTGAAGATGAGGCACCCCAAACTAGGAAGCCACCCTGGTGCTTGGCAGGCGGGCGAGGAATTTCCATGGAAATGAATATGCCCACGGCAGATGTTGCGACGCTCATAGGCAGGATTGATCCTTCTTCAAAGCTCATGAAGTCAGGAATCTTGGCCAGGGCGCAGTCTTTCACCAGAGAATATTGCTGAAATGCACCGTTCTGCGGATCTTTCGAAATTATCATATCAGCAAAGCCCGTGACCCTATCACCTTTCTGGAAGTGTTTGACGTCCGATCCCACTGCATCCACTACTCCCGAGACGTCACTTCCAAGAATAGCCGGGTATTTCTCAATTAAATGGCCGAATTGTTGCATCTTCCAGTCCACGGGGTTGGTGGCGAGAGCATGGTTCTTAACCACAACGTCTGACGGCCCGGGCTTGGGAATTGGACGCTCTTCGATGGTAAGATTGGCTTTTGCCTCTTTGAGGACGGCTGCTTGGTTGGACATGATCACTGGTGTGAAGCTTATGACAATGTGTGTCTGGGTATCAATGATGAGGGGAAAGAGAATTCTTCAGTGGGACTTTATACTTGTGCATGCATCGGAAATAGTGGGATTACATCAGCAGAACACAATTCAGTAAAGGGCGCTCGACCAGACTGTTGTCATTCATCTCGAAGTGAAGGCTGATGAACGTTTATAGTTTGGTCAACTTGCACTGTATGAAATTAGCTTTGGCATGGAAATCTCACCCCGCGCCCGCTATGTTCTCGAGCTTTCGCTGTTAAACTTGTCCCGATGACAATGAAGCTATACAAAGAACCACTGTTGCATAAGCATTTGAAGGCGCTAGAAGCCCGTTGTGTAAGCTTGTGCGAGCCTCATCCCGTAGTTTTTCAAGTCGAAGAGGTGTTCATTGGCCTCCTCGTGAGCACAGCTTGCGGGGGTAAGCCTTCATCAGATTTCAATCGGCAAGCATGAGCTACTCTGCATGTTCAGTGCTGCTGAGGCGAGAAGGCTATCTTTGCTTCAGTAGCGAGTCTCCATTGGGCCCTGGCGCGATTACTTCGAATGAAGAGCTGTGAGGAGGCAAAAATGCCAGACACTAGTAGCATGGAAACTTGAGATGCGCAGGGAGCTGAGACGATGACCACCGTTGCATAGTACGCGCCGGTCTCAGAAGAGTAGTCTCCGAGCGAGTTTTTACGACAAATTGTCACTGTTTGTGGAGTGATTGGAGAAACGATGTTATTCGTGACGCGGCGAAAGCGCGGTTCTGCATTTTTGATAGGGCTTAGCGTTCTTTGCCCCTGAAGCTGAAACAATGAACAACTCCTTCCTCTTGTTCACGCTCACATCTAACATATCGTCACTCTTTTTCCATTGTACTCTCACACTCATTAGCAGGCAGGAGCAGGCTCCTGTACCACCACTCATTAAGAAAGCAGACTTGGTGACACTCATTTGGACAGGCTGCATTCACTCTCTTTATTTACTTCCGTCCCCCTCCGGACCCCCCATACGAGGAACTAACATAGTAATCAGCACAGGACTTCGGAAGCTTTTAGGATACGCGAGAAGTCCATGGCTACCGAGGATATATCAACGGAAGCTGCGGCTGATTATCACGAGACTGCTGCTGTGGGAGAAAGCGATACCCGCAGTATCCTACTGCCGACAGAATCGATGGTCACTGTAAGGCTATCAGATCCTTTGGTCGTGCCATCCTCCGCTATATCTCCCGACAACCAGGTTTCTGTGGCAGCACTCGCCCAGTTCCTGCCTGTTGGGCAAGATCCGGTTCTACATGAAGATGCTTTAGACGCTTCCCACAACAGTCACACATCTTCTGGGCAGGGTCTTCTCGAAGACGAAAGCGGTACTGCTCCTGATGAGAATGCTGTTGTACTTGGAGACGAGTACCAGGAGTCTACAGTCTCGATGACAAGCGTCCGCTCCAGAAGCGATAGCTCGGGCAGCACCCTATCTTCAAATGGCAGCGCCCAGGTCGACTGGGATGAGTTGGAGAAAAGTGAAGAGCAGGCACCCCGAGACGAGGGATCTGATGAATCAACCGCCTTCCTTCTTGCCAGACTGGAGCAAGAGAACAACGCCCTTGCTATTAATCCGAAGGCAGCTCTCGCAAGAGCCAAATCCACACGAAAGGGCACGAAAGTACGGCCACCCTCTATTCAACACCTCAAGAAGCTTGTCAACGAACCAACGAAACCTTCACTTCGATACTCCTTGATACCGGACCCTCCACCCATGACAGAGTTAGAGTTCTGGGCAGCTCTCGTTAACGATTATCCCCAGACAGCGCAACGCCTGCCAACTTTGACTTCCAACAAGATTAGGAGTGGAGTTCCACCACCATTGCGTGGTGTTGTCTGGATGAGCATAGCTGGATCCCGCGATCCCCTGTTGGAACATGAATATGAAAGGCTCTGTGGCGAGTCAAGCCCTTACGAAAATCTCATCGGCAAGGACATCGGTCGAAGCTTTCCTGGGGTCGAAATGTTCAGGGACCCTTCAGGAGACGGCCAGCAGATGCTTGGTACGGTACTCAAATGCTTCAGTCTCTACGATCAAAAGATTGGATATTGCCAGGGCCTTGGCTTTGTCGTCGGCCCTTTGCTAATGCACATGGGTGACAAAGAAGCGTTTTGTGTGCTCGTCCGGTACCTTTCCCCAAACAATGCATCCGCTTTTGCTTCGGCTAACAGCAATACAGATTGATGGAGCACTACGATTTACGCTCATGCTTCTTGCCAGATCTCTCTGGTCTCCATCTTCGCATCTACCAATTTCAACACCTACTATCGAAGCATCTCCCACGTCTCACAGCTCATATGGAAACTTTGCAGGTGGAACCTTTATACGTGTCCCAATGGTTCCTCTCGTTCTTCGCAGTCACCTGTCCACTACCTATGCTACTACGGATATACGATGTTATTTTGACCGAGGGAGCTTCGGAGACTCTAATGCGGGTCGCACTATCGCTCATGCGTAGGAATGAAACTAAAATCTTGACCTGCACCGAATTTGAAGACGTGATGAGCCTTCTTCTCTCCAGGGCATTGTGGGATACTTATGGATCGAATGCGGATGATCTGGTAAACGACTTCGTTGGTTTGACGGGTCTTGTGACGCGGGAGAGCTTGGAAGCCCTTGAAGGAACTTTCAGAGAGCCTAGCAACGAAGAGTCAATTTCCAAGAGTAGCTCTCTTCCAAATGTTCAGGCCGCAGCATCACGTTTTCTGGGCCGTTTCTGGACAGGTCCAAGCTCATCCGCAAAGGTTACTTCCCCAACTTCTAGCTTAGCTGTCGCAGAGCCACCCCGACCCTCGAGCTTCCTGCGCCGGACGCCCTCGAAACAAAGTATGGCATCGACGCTCAACTCCATTGAAAGCGCTGAGTCGCAACTCAGCGCAGCTTCAACTGAAGCAACGGCTATGTCGAGAAATCCTTCAGCTGACGGCACCCCCGTCAAAGCTGGCAACACTCTCGGCAATAGCGTCTCGTCGTCCATGGGAGTCACGAGCCAAGACAGGGATCTTCATACTCAGATCGAGGACTTACTGACTGCTCTGAGTGATATGCAGCGAGACCAGACCTTACTCGAGAATGAGGTACAGAAAGAGCGTGAAGAGCGTGATGAAGATCGTGCTGCAGTGCAACGTTTTCTGGCGCGAGCAAAGAAGTCCGCCACTCTGGACGTCATACCAGAGACGCAATCGCATGGCTCATCTTCTGTGTTGGAAGCCCCAGCTACGGCTCTTGATAGTGACGAGGCCCTGATGGATCTAGAACTGCATTTCAACACGTCTTCGAACAAAAGGTCGTCTCTTATGCAGCAGACAAAGCATCAAATGCGAGAGGAATTGAAATTGTGGAAAAATCAGTATGAGGTTGAAGCAACAAGATCCGCCGATTTGACGCGCCAGCTTGCTGACGAGAGACTGGAAAATGCTCGTCTCTTAGAACAGTTCCGAGAGGCGCGAGCACGTATGCAAGATGCACATCAAGATAAACAGCGGCTGGAGAAGACTCTTTCAGAAATGAGAAGCCGCAGGTTTTCTACAGACAGCGAGTATGAATCAACCCCAGCGACTCCAGTTGACACTGGACCTGCGCCCGCTGGACTGCGTGAGCTCAAGCTTGGGAGATCTGGTTCACTTCGCTCGAATGCAGCACCGACGCAGCCATTCGCGAAGCGATCCAGCAGTCTTGGCATATCTGCAGTACTTGCAACTGAGGATCACAAGCCTGCTCCTGAAGACACGCTTCTACTAGAGCTTGTCAATGCCAAGACAGCAGAAGCTGTGGCACGGCAGGAGTTGGAAGAGGTGAAGGCAAAGTTGGACTCGTTGCGGAAGATGATAGGAGGTGGGCCTGCTATGACAGTGAGCAGCGGTCATCGGCCAAGCGCCAGCGAGGCAGGCATTGTGAAAGTACCGAGCGTGACCGCAGCAGCGAGACCTGCTGTGGAGAAATTCAAACCTGCTGTCGCTGCTCCTGCTGGTGGCTTCTTTAGCGGCTGGGGAAAAAGAACGGCATCGAATCCGGCGGTCACGGTGTTCGTTCCAGATTCATGACAAGACATTCGCTTCTAATAAGAGACGCTTCGGGACAATTGATTTTTCGTCGTTTGGCGTCAGGGGTAGAGTACCAGCTTCTTAGCATGTAATGTTGATGCTCAAAAATTCACTTTCTTCTTCGAGAATGGAACAATGCCATTTCTAGCCACGTTATGAACCTGTCTCCGAACCAAATTTGCGCATCATCTGTTTTGTGCACATGGCAGTGGTATTTGAGACGTCACATGAGTAGACGGGAGCATATGCCGTTCAACTGCCGACAGATATACCCCCTGTCAAAGATGTTCCCTTTACCCGCTTCTCGGCGCTGCCCTGGTGGCCCTGCCTGGCACCTGCAAACCAATCATCCTTGGCATCCCACTCCCTTGATGCTTCGGTTACAGTCTGGGAGGTAATTTGCGCCTGGCCAAAAGCGCGGACTTGCAGGACCTCCCTTGTGATAAGATGCCGCTGCCTCATCCCGGCCAAGCTACCCCACAATCTGGGGTTGATGCTGATGGCGTTCGGCGATCAGAACTACTGGGCAATGTTTAGGTTTGATATGATTGATGTCTCCTTTGACTTATTAAGTTTTGCTCTGCATCAAATGAAACTTCTCCTCATCTTCCCCTTGTCAAAGCTGCAGCATTCCGCTGTACGTTAGCAGTAGGTGGGGGTGGTCTAGATTCTAGATCCTTCAGCTGCAGTCATCACCTCTTATTGCGGTACCATCACCTTAACCTTTTAAGCTGGGTCGCTACTACTGCACCACCATCTTTTCGCGCTCATCCTCTGGAACGTAGTCGAGGGAGACATTTCAACCAGGCTGTAAAGCCGAACGAGGGCTAGGAAACAGTGATCAAGATGGAGATGAACTATGATGAAAATGTACGCTAAATCTGCCGGCTACGTATTCACAGTACATTACTTGCGCACTGGCTCATGCTATCGTAGACGCTGCACCAGCTCGAGGAGGAACTCCACGTCCAAATTGTACCGGGTACAGAGATTATGACAGATGTGGGCAGCCATCATTTTGTCAAGTCCTCCAACCGAGTGCTGGTGCCCCAGCCAAGTGATGACCCTCATGATCCGTTGGTGAGCTTGCCACTGTTCGGACACAGGATCGATATGACCTGTTAGAAGAAACTATTGAGCTAACAAGATGTAGAATTGGAATACCTTCTGGAAATTCTCTACCTTGACCTGCGCGACATGTGCAACCTTTGTTCAGGGCATGGGTCCGCTTTCTCTTGCACCCATGATCCCCTATTTGATCGAGGCATTTGATTCAAACTTGAATGATGTGATTCAGTTCACTGGTGTTGCTATTCTCGTGCTCGGATTTAGCAACTTCATCTGGTACGCTGTACAATCCGTCTATCTATTTCATAATTCGGATGTTGATTGATGATAGGGTCCCGCTGAGCACTTCCTTCGGCCGGCGACCGGTCTATCTCGCGTCCCTCTTGATCTGCTTTGGCAGTGCCATCTGGAGAGCCAAAGCTCAGACGTATGGTAGTTTCATGGGGGCATGTGTTCTCAATGGTATTGCAGCTGGTCCAGCTGAGACCATCCAGCCTAATGTCATTGCTGATGTGATGTTCTTGCATGAGCGAGGAGCGTATCAGACGCTTTACTTTGCATTTTATTTCGGTTCTCTTATGGTTTGCCTCTTCATCCCTTTCCGCAAACCTCAGCTTATGACTCCATAGGTTGGACCTATCATCGCTGGTCCGATGGCAGAGTACTCAGGATGGCGCAACTTTTGGTGGCTCAATGTCGGTTTAATTGGCGCTACATTCATCATGTGCCTTTTCGGCTTTCCGGAAACAAAGTATCACCGCATGCATCCTGATGAAATCCACAACATAGCTTCCGAAAAGACAACCGGGTCCCTGGGAGAGAAGAATATGATCACGACGATGGAAGGGTCTGACATAGAAAAGGTGAAGTCCCCCGAGCTTGCCGATCTTTCTCATGCGGCCACCGCCCAGCGAGACCCGTGGCTCGGAAAGGGTCGGCCAAGCAAGCAGCAATTCGGGCTCTTCCAGCCGAACGCGCATCCGTTCAAGAGCGTTTTGCTTGACCTTTGGATCCCATGGAAGCTTTTCGCCTTTCCAATCGTGGAATTTGCCTCTTTCGTCGTATCGTGGAGCGCGTCCTCTTTCCTAACGCTAAATCGTACGTTATACTTTCCGAGGCGATTCTTCCCCATTCATGCTGTCTTATGAGTCGTCAGACATGTTTGAAGAGTTCTCTGCTCCTAAGACATGTCTCGCGACCCAGAAGTCCTCTGAAAGAGTAATGCTGACTCCGGAATCCTCAAGTTACGCAATCTCAAGCGTTTGCAGCACCGCCTTACAATTTCAAGCCACTTACTATCGGCTTTTTCAACTTTGCCATCCTCATTGGCGGCATACTTGGTTTGGTCACAGCGGGACCTCTGAGTGACTGGATCAGTATGAAACTTACCAAGAGAAACAACGGCATCAGAGAACCGGAAATGAGGCTACCGACAATGATCCCTTACGTCGCCATCATGATAATCGGCAACTTCGTAGTTGCCTTTGGCTGGCAGCAGGGTTGGGATTGGAAGGTCAGTATCTGACACATCTGATTTCTCTCGAAAGAAATCACAACAACGAAGCTATGAGTTAACTTCATAATCCTAGCCGATCGTAATCATTGGCTGGGCATGTGCCGGCATCCAAGTCGCAGCTCTCCCTGCCATCGCCTCCACTTACGCCATCGACTCCTATAAGCCCGTTGCCGGCTCAGTATTCGTGAGCATTACAGTGAACAAGAACCTTTGGGGTTATGGTTTCTCGAAATTCATCAATACTTGGATTGTCGAGGATGGATATGTGCCGCCAATCATGACGAACATGTGCTTGATCACGCTGTGGTGCCTTTGTGGTATTATTTTTTGGGTATGGGGGAAGAAGTTCAGAATCTGGACAAGGAACAGTCAGGTGCACCATATGTAAAATGGGAGGGCATGGGGCAAGACATGGAGTTAAGTAGGCCGGTGAGCTGGATGCTTATTTTGGGAATTTGGTGCTACATAAGTGGGTGTATGTGGTATATAAGAAGATTGAGGTTCCAGTTGTCCCTGTCAGCCATTGCAATTGAGGTGATACTCCCACTCACAGTAATAGATGTCGGTCACTGATTTTCTTGCGCGTGCAGAAAATAAAAAGCACCGCAACACCATTGCACCAGCGCCATTAGGAATCGAACCTAAAGTAATCCACACGCGAAAGTGAATTGAGATAGGGCTGAAAAACGCGCCAGCGCCAAAAGCGGCTAATGAAGAGTCGACGTACTAAAGTACGTATTCACCTCAATGTAAACAGTAACCACAACAAACCTTCCAGTGAAGGCCAGCCCCCACCACTCCTGTTCTTCCACCACACGCTCTTATTGTCGTGGTCTCAATATGAGTGACTCGGTCCATTGAAATCACCTACATCCCTAAGCGTACTTCAGTTCAACGCGTGCCCAATATGGATTCTTTGATGTCGGACTCCGTGTTTGATGATGGGGATGTTTCCGATGATTTTGCGCCTTCAACGGTAAAGTACCCCAAGACTACACGTTTCTCTGTCGCGGAGACAACCCTCTGACTTGCATTTGGCGTTTAGAAAGCCAAAGCCAAGCCCAAAGCAGCTGCCAAACCAAAGGCGGATCCAAAGCCCAAAGCTGCTCTGAAAAAGCCTCGAGCCCCCAAGGCTGCCCCAAAGAAGATGTCACAAACCACACTGAAGCCACCGAAGAAGCGCCCGAAGCCCGATACGGAGGACGAGGATTCCGAGGGTGATCCCTCATCACACGACGACTCACTCCTTTCCAACACCCCACCAAGCGCGAAGAGACCAAAGAAGGCCCCTGGCCCGAAGAAAATGGGCGCGAAACCTCTCCGTGAGGTTGAGAATGAGGCTATAGCTGAAGCCATAGACGCCTCTATGATGATGGATGGCGTAAATGAGCCGAAGGTAACGAAGGGCTCTAAGTCGACAGAGACGTACCAGAAGGTAATCAGGCTTAGACTAGGTACCCCGTGAGACATCGCGGCTTACAATCTTGTAGCTCACGCAACTGGAACACATAATCAAGCGCCCAGACACTTACATTGGGTCCGTCGAAGCCCAGGAGAAGCAGATGTGGGTGTACAACAGTGAACAAGAGTCGATGGAAATGAGATCCGTCACCTTTGTACCGGGTATCTACAAGATTTTTGACGAGATCCTCGTCAATGCTGCAGACAACAAGCAGCGAGATAAGAACATGGATACAATCAAAGTCACGATCGATCGAGCGAAGGGCGAGATCAGCGTCTTAAACAATGGACGTGGTATTCCGATCGAGATTCATGAGAAGGAGCAAATCTACATTCCAGAGATGATCTTCGGTCATCTTCTCACGTCTTCCAACTATGACGATGATCAGGATAAGGTCACCGGGGGTCGAAACGGTTATGGTGCTAAGCTTTGCAACGTTTTCAGCACTGAATTTACCCTAGAGACTGCAGATTCCAAGACGAAGAAGAAGTACACGCAGACATGGACCGCAAACATGAGCAAGATGGGCAAGGCTTCAATTACATCGAACAAAAGTGATGACTTTACGAAAATCACATTCGCCCCAGATTTCCAGAGATTCAAGATGCAGGGTATAGACAACGACTTGGAAGCCTTGATGAAGCGTAGAGTCTATGACTTGGCAGGCACCAGCAAAGGTGTTAAAGTCTGGCTGAATGGTGAGAGGATCAAGATCAACAGCTTCAAGAAATACATGGAGATGTACACCAAGGCCATCAAGAAGGAAAGGGGCGATGAAGCAGTCAACGATACCTCTGAGATCATCACAGAAAGCCCGGATGTGAGATGGGAAATTGGGTTCGCGGTGTCAGACGGGACATTTCAACAGGTTTCTTTCGTCAACTCGATTGCCACAACTTCTGGTGGTACCCATGTCAACTATGTTGCTGATCAAGTCTGCACGAAGCTGCTGGAAATTGTCAAAAAGAAGAAAAACAACAAAGCCGCATCTCTCAAAATCAGCCAAATCCGAAACCACATCTTCCTTTTTGTCAATTGCTTAATTGTCAATCCAGCATTCACCTCACAGACCAAGGAGCAATTGACTACCAAGCATAGTCAGTTTGGCAGTAAGTGCAACGTCAGCGATGAGTTTCTCAAGAAAATCGCCAGAACTGAAGTTGTGGCCAACATCCTGCATTTCGCAGAGCAGAAGGCAGACCAGATTCTCAAGAAGAGCGATGGTAGCCGACGAAGTCGTATGGACAATCCGAAGCTCACAGATGCCAACAAGGCTGGCACCAAAGACGGCTACAAGTGCACGCTCATCTTGACCGAGGGAGACTCGGCCAAAGGTTTGGCAATCGCAGGTCGATCTGTTGTCTCTGCAGATCTATTCGGTGTATATCCGCTTCGTGGCAAACTGCTCAACGTGCGAGATGCTCCAGTCGATCAAATAGCGAAAAACGCCGAAATCCAGAACATCAAGAATTTCATTGGGCTCAAGCACAAGACAACCTACACGGACTGCAAGAGCTTGCGTTACGGACATCTCATGATCATGACTGACCAAGATCATGACGGAAGCCATATCAAGGGTTTGCTCATCAACTTCCTCCAAGTCCAATTCCCGAGTCTGCTCAAGATCCCCGAATTCCTCGTCGAGTTCATCACACCCATTGTCAAAGCTTACAAGGGCGATCCAAAGAAGCCCAAGCAGGCCGAGACTTTTTTCACCATGCCAGAGTACGAGGCATGGAAAGAAGACCACAAACCTGAACTGCACAAATGGGAACACAAGTACTACAAAGGATTGGGTACAAGCACCACAGAGGAAGCTCAGGTCTACTTCCGAGATCTGGACAGGCACTTGAAAGAGTTCCATACCATGAAGGAAAGTGAGGTCGAACTTATTGAGCTTGCATTCTCGAAAAAGAAAGCAGACGAGCGGAAGGAATGGCTTCGCCAATTCAAGCCTGGAACGTATCTCGACCATTCGGAGAAAGGTGTCTCGTACACCGACTTCGTCAACAAAGAACTGATTCTCTTCAGCATGGCGGATAACATGCGTTCGATCCCCTCTGTCGTTGATGGTTTGAAGCCCGGGCAACGCAAGGTTCTCTACACATGCTTCAAGCGTAACTTGAAGAAAGACGTGAAGGTTGTTGAACTTGCCGGTTCTATTTCTGGTCTCACTGCCTATCAACATGGTGAAGCCTCACTTCAAGGTACCATTGTGGGCCTTGCGCAGACATTCGTTGGATCTAACAATCTTAATTGTCTTGAGCCCAGCGGCAACTTCGGCAGTCGTCTTCAGGGAGGTAGCGATTGTGCCAGCGCACGTTACATCTATACACGTCTCTCGCCTTTTGCTAGAAAGGTTTTCCATGCTTCAGATGAGCCGCTTTTGACCTACAACACAGACGACGAGCGTACGATTGAGCCTGAAGTCTATGTACCAGTAGTTCCAATGGTCTTGATCAACGGTGCGGACGGTATCGGGACTGGATGGAGTTCCTCGATCCCGAATTACAATCCCGAGGACATCGTTGAGAATCTCAAGCTCATGATGGCCGGCGAACCTCCGAAGGAAATGACTCCATGGTTCCGAGACTTCAAAGGCACCGTCACCCGTATGGGTCCTGACCGATACAAGTTCAGTGGAGTCATCAGGCAGACAAGCGATACCGAGATTGAGGTCACCGAGCTGCCGGTGCGCATGTGGACTCAGGACTTCAAAGACAGGATTGTAGACATCATCAAGGCAGAGAAGACACCATCTTGGATCAAGGACTACGATGACTACAACACACACAAGGATGTTCATTTCGTCATCAAGATGGAAGACAAGCATATGAAACTTGCGCTCGAGGAAGGCTTGGAAGATAAGTTCAAGCTGACAAAGTCGATTGCCACATCCAATCTGGTTGCTTTTGATGCTGAGGGTAGAATCACGAAATATGCGACTGTCGAAGATATTTTGAAAGAGTTCTATGGTATCCGCATCAAGTTCTATGAGAAGCGAAAGGTAATATTTACTATTCCCACTCCTCTAGTGCTGACCCTAACATTTGGTAGGCCTATATGCTGTCTGAAATGCACCGTGAGCTTGAGAAGTTCACCAACCAAGCACGCTTCGTCCAGATGATTATCGACGGCAAACTCGTTGTATCAAAGAAGAAGAAGCTGGCCTTGGTACAAGAGCTGAAGGAGAAGGGTTTCAAGGCCTTTCCCAAGAAGGCCGAAGCTATCAAAGAGGGGGAACTTGCGCCTATTGCAGACAATGACGAAGAGGAGGAGGAGGATACCCAGACTGGCGCAGCCGCATATGACTACCTTCTCGGCGTAAGTCTAAGCGAGACCTTGATTCGAAATTGTGGCATGTAATCCTAACTTCTGAAAGATGCCTATCTGGTCGTTGACCAAGGAGCGCATCGAAAAGTTGCTGCAGCAGGTTGGTGACAAGGAGATTGAGATCGATAACCTTATCAAGCTCACCAAAGAGGATCTCTGGACGAGAGATCTCGATGACTTCCTCAGCCAGTGGAGATTCGAGCTTGACGATGAGGCTAAGCGCCAAAAGAAAGTCGCGAACATGGGTCGCCGAGGCTCCAGGAAGTTGAACATAACTGGGGGCGTAGCAGGTCGAAAACGCAAGAACGACTCTGACGATGACGACTTTGATGTTGCTCCTGTCAAAACTAAGAAGACTGCTATGCCGAAGGAGGTCGGAGGCTTACTTTCTTACATGATGCCGGACACCAAGACTAAGGCGTCGCCAAAATCGAAGGCTAAAGCCCCGACAGTCACGCAAAAGGCTGCGAAGAATGCCCTGGATCTGATATCAGCACCAGCTAAGGAAGAAGACAAGGGCGACGTCTGGATGAATCTGGATGGGTCAGGCTCGGATGTGCCGAAGGTAACCAAGCCCAGAGCAGCTCCTCTAAAGACGGCTCCTCCAGTAAAGAAAGCGGTACCAGCGCCCAAGAAGATCGACTCTGATGAGGATGATGAAGCGGCGGACGAAGAGATCATACGTCCTGCCGCTGGCCGTAGGCCTCGTGGTGCAGCTGCGAAGCTAGTCTCATACAATGTTGATGGTTCGGACTCTGACGGCGATGGTATGCTCTTCGATGTTGGTAAGATGGTCAAAGGTATCGATACAGCCTCCGCACCTGCAGACAAATCTCGGCCCCTATTTTCAGCGTCGATGTCTCGTCCCGGCAGCAGTGCAGGCCTCCCAAAGAGGTCCACCTCTTCAAAGCCCGCTATCGATATCGATAGTGACGATACTAATTATTCCAAGCTTGCTCCTCCTACCGCGAAGAAAGGACCAGCCGTCACCGCGAGGAAGACGATCCTATCTGATGACGACGAGGACTCCTTGGACGACATCATAGCGGCCCCTCCCAAAGCGTCCAAGCCAGCTCCAAAGGCTGCTGTCAATCCCGGTCCTAAGGGCAAAGCCGTAGCGAAGAAGCCGACCAAAGGGGCTGCTCCCCCTCCCCCAGAAGCGAAGAAGTTGCCGTTGAGCCCTGCAGCGAAAGCTTATGCAGCGAAGAAAGCCAAGGCAGAAAAGGCCGCGCTAAAAGCTAACAGTCCGTCAGAAGACGAACTGGAAGGTCTGGCAAATGAGGTCATGGATGATGATGACGATGATGAGGATGCAGGTCCGGCTGTGCGTCGACCAGCGCGGCGTGCAGCTTCTGCTGCGCCGAAGAAGAAATGGGTTATTTCCGATGACGAGGACGAGCTTGAGGAGGAGCTTGAGGAGAGCACGATGCAATTTGGTGACGGGGATAGCGATGATTGAGCTAGCTGGCCCACCGTTCCTATGATTTTAAGCCTGCGTTTTGTCATTTCTCCGCTGTCGATGGAGCAGACTTTGGTCAATCTTGTGATCAGTTGCCATTATTTTGCGCTGGACCTGGCACCACTGGGGTTCGGCGAGCATACATTAAGCGTAATTATGCGTGGAGATTCCATTTGGACAGCTTTACTTTCAGCTCGCGTGCAAGAGAGGATTCGGTGCATGAATCTTGGACTTGTTATCTGACTCTTTCGTCGCCATTGCCACATTCCCTCACGTAGTAGACTACCACGACTTCTCGTATCGTTTAGCGAACCAAATGAGGCATTCTTCTGCCCTCAAGCCTGCATACAGACACGGCGCTCTAGACAGAACGAATTACGGAATCCCTTCCCGTCCCAGCGGATGGGAATCCAATCCAACGCTCTACTACACACACTGCCTCAGTACCCTGCGTCCCCAAAAATTCTGCTCCGTGGGCTTCGATCATCCTTCGCCGGTGCCCGATGTCACCGTCATGTGAGAGCTCCAACAGTTCGCCATAATCTTCCGGAAAAACGATGTCTACGTCTCAAAGCGTTCTTCCGCATGGCGCACCCAGCCGCTAAATTTTCCGATACGATAACCGTTCGATGCGGCCCCGGTCAAGGGGAGGGGGAAGGGTGGCCGTGTGCATGTACCAAGGTATCTCCCAGGCTGCCTCCGTCTCGGCTGCCTGATCCGAAAGCCCATTCTCTGGTGTGGAGGCACGTCCGTACCCAGGTTCCCTACCACACCCTCAGGGTCCTTCGCGCGGAGCATTTCAAGGTTGCGTGCATCTGCGGAGAACGCATTGATGATCCGTGCGGGCTACCACTTCGCCTTGGTTGTCGATCCAAAGGCGGCCTTTTCGAGTCTCGGAGGATTTTCGAGGGCTCGTGCATGACGGAAGGTATGGTTCCTATTAGATGGTCCTCGAAGATAATAGGCAAGACACATGTGCATGTGCATTAGATGGACGATGCTCATGCGTTGTCGATCTTCAGGTTGCTAGTATCTTGGGTGTCGAATGATGTGGCGACGCTGTATGGACGGAACAAGCATGCACGCCCACCATTGGTGTGATCCTTCCGATCTTTTTTGCCTCCGCTGGTTGTTTTCGACATTGATTGGATGAGTGTGGCCGAACCTGCATAATCTACGAGCTACGTACCGGTACGTACGTAAGTGAACGCCTTCTCTGTAAGTTCTGGTTGGGAGTGTGACCATCAAAGCTGCAGGGTCTAGCGCTGGGAGCTCCCGGGTTGGGAAAGATCAGAGGCTGGGAACAAGCGGGGGCCGTGCATGGCGATTTTGAAAATCGAGAGAGGCTTAGGCGAAGCCTTGGTTCATAGGCGACGTAGAACAAAGACTGGGAGAGCATATCGTCTTAGCTGCCGAGATTGAATCAGGTGGCTCTTGGCCTTTTCCTTACTAGCAACGTAGTGTAGGCACGCCGTACCTTCATCGGAAGAGTGGCATAGAACACTTACTGAGAGATTCGAGGAACAGAACATGTCATTTTCGTTGGCAACTCCTTCGACTCGTGCTTTGCATGTCAAGATGACATACTGACGGCCAGAAGGACGTTTCTGAGAGGTTCAGGTGAAATCCACAAAGATCTCGGCTCTTTGCCGCTGGTGAGTTTGCCACAGTCAAGCGCCCCAACGTAACAGGCTCCCATGCGTGTTTGAACAAATGATGATTGATTGTGCCAGGAATCGTTCGTTCGGGAAGCTAAACAATGCATCAATAGCAAAAAGGCTTTCTTCCCAGGCACCACAGCCTTCTGGAAGCCTTTGGAAGATGCAAGCCTGCGAAGGTCCGTGCAATATGCGTGGGGGCATTGGGTTTTTCCTCTTTCATGCGGAAGGCCATTGAAGTCCAAAAAGGTAAGGGCTTGCGGCGAGACTATGGCTAATGACCCAGAAACCTGGATATTGAAGAGGGGGGACGGGTAAGTACAGTAGTTGAGAAGCTTTAAAATTGATATACGGTGAACGCGGTGAAAGTCGTGCGGATTGATGATAGTACCTTCAATTGGCGGCTTCGAGTGGCAGTCACTGTTGTAAAGTCTGCTGCTCACTTCAGACCAGAAGGATGGTTTCTACGGTGATCATACCTTTCATAATTAGGCATATGTGCATCGAGGTCCCATTAGCAAATTTAGGGCAAAGATCACGTTCTCTTTGTCCCACAGGTCTCGGAAGCAGTCCTTTTCCGTGACCCCTGTTGATCCCTGTTGACCCATGCGCCTATCCAGTACAGCCAGCATCTTCACCTTACCAGGCCGAGGGCCATGATATTGTATAACTTCCTTCACGACAGACCTAGGTATCTGGCTTTGGCAAACGTCCCATAAGGTCACGCAATATTTCGGTCGAAGCATGACCACTATCAAATTGCGGATTTAACCCTGGTGATACCGCACAACCCGAGGCTGGATGCAAATCTCCCTAATCGAGCACTATTGATAATACCAAGACATGTCTAAGCTCACGGGCCCGGATAGGCACTGAGAAGCACACGCCAACGTAGCTGGACGGTGAGCTCTCCTTTGGAGCTTTATTCTAGCGCGATTTGTTGAATTAGATTGCCCGAAAAGTGGAAGAGAAGCCGTCCGATTGTGTTCACGCTCGCTTGATGAAAAGGTTGGATAGAAGACCGAGCTCGAGCGTGACCTAGTGTATCACTTTACGTACGTTTGACGGTACTCATCTTGTCGATAAAGTGTCCCAGATCTCCACTGATTCAGAAACAAGCGAGCGTCTCTGCGATAGAATCAGACATTTGCGCTTCACCGCCAATCTCTTGCGGTCGTCTGCCTGCCTCGATAGAGCCCAGAACTAGCGCTAAGCCAGACCCAGGTTCAAGGCAAACCGACGCAAAGTCACTGGAAGCCTTACCTTTATTGATCTGATCCTGCATCCCAAGGCAAGGATTAATGGTAGTGCGCCAGGATCTGCATCAACATCAACAAAGAGCCGCGGTTGGCGGTCTGCATCTCGATACTTTCTGTGCTCTTAAGCATCCCGTTTCAGAAGAGGCACTGAGAGCTGGCTTATTCACTCAACGGAGCCGTGCATCTGCCTTTGGCTTGTTTTGCGGTGGCCTTTGTCGTTGAGCTGGACGATTGAGCCCAGACCCAAGTGTTTTCGCAGAAGCCATATTAGGAGGCCGAGCCCGTCGCCGATATCAACTCCAATCGATCAATCAGGAATCTAGCCTTCATAAAGAACTCTCGTTGTCTTTGGACCCCAGACCATTCACCAACTTCAGTCCCAACAGTGATCAAGACATCCTCCAGACATCCACGATATTGCCATTTCGAGCCATCATCTTCTACACGCAATCATGGTTCCTGTTGCATCGCTCCTCAACCCATCGCCGCCTTCATTCGAACGCTTTCGGGACTACCCTACGCCCGCCTTCGACAAGTACCAAAAGCAGTCCTCGCCACTTTTAGCAGCACCGAAGAAGCAGAAAATGTCAAAGGCAGCAGCGACATTCGTGAAAGGCAAGCCAAAAGGCGAAGTCAAGTACCCTCCCTATGAGATCCAGGATGAAGCCACTGCAGCAGAGCACAAGAAGTTCGAAGTCCAGCCAATTGGCCGCATCGGAGAGTACCCCAAGCGCATTCCATACAACAGCGAGAAGAAGACGTTCCAACAGAAGACTGGAATGGACGGATTTGAAGGTATGTGACATCATCGCAAGAAGATCGGTATCGAAGAGAAGCTCAATCATGGCCATTAGTCTACCAGTACACTTTCAGAATGCCGGACGATGCTCGAGACAAGGATGCACATACTGTGATGTGGGATTACAATGTGGGCTTGGTGAGGGTCACATCGTTCTTCAAGAGCCTGAAGCACACGAAGGTAAGCGATCCTTCCGTGGGCCTTTTGCAGTCACCATAGCTTACACCTCGTAATTAGACAATGCCAGCGAAAGTGATGAACGCAAATCCAGGGCTCCGTGAAATATCCCACAGCATTACTGGTGGCTCTATCTCCGCTCAAGGTATGTGTTGCGTCATTTTGGCCTCATTCATAACAGAGGCTGTTTCAATTAACTTCACGTAGGATACTGGGTGCCATTCGAGGCGGCTAAAGCCGTGGCTGCAAGGTTCTGCTATGAGATCAGATACGTGCTGGTGCCTGTTTTTGGACCGGACTTCGTCTCGATGTGCCAAAAGTGTGGCGATGAATCCTATCTACGCTTGAACGTCCACCCCAGTATCATTCAGCGGTGTACCGAGGCTGCGACAACCAACCAGACGCAATCTAGGGAGTCTTCTGTGGCTGTAAGTCCTCGTACATCGGCTCCTTACGCCAATTCACCCGCATGGCCTCCAAAGCCGCTGCGGCCCAGACCGGCCAAGGCAACGGATGCGGAGAGTGGATACGGTACGGACTCGGATCGCAGTGAGAAGTACCCAGGGTCCCCTGACTCGCCCAGGAGCATCGAATGGACTCCAGTGAACTCCCCAAGGCTGGCCTGCCTGCAGACATACCGATTCTTGCAACAGCAGCCAAGGAATGTCACTTCGACCCCTCGTGGTCTTGGCTATCCGACTACCACACATCGCAAGCGGATGACCGATACTAAGCGAGGGATATCTGAGATTGACGAGGCTTCCGACGCCGAAAGTTCCTCTGGTCACTCGTCAATAGACTCTCCTGCATCACCAAAACGAAGGAAGGTATCTGCAGCCATGACACCCGAGATTGGAGCAGCGTATACGCTGATTGAGTTAAACATGGCGGACGCGACATTGGGGGAGAGAAAGGCATTGAAACGTCGTCGAGCTTCGGCATAGTGCACGATTCTGGGTATGAGGGTGTTGACCACATGACGTGATGCTTTCGAATGGAGTCTGTGCTGCAAGAGACAATTTCCTTGGGTCTGATTTAAGGGAAAGCGGATGCGAGGTCATGATTTTGGGGAGAGGATGGATAGGAAATGGGGATGAAATACAGAACAGACACAGAATAGATTGGATGATTGCTGAATGAATCGTTGCTCTACTTCATAGTACACAATTCACGTGAGCTTGCTTTGTGCCCACTCTACCATGGCAAAGAAATTAAGAGAAGCTCGGAGAAGACCGGCAGGATTCGGATTGTAGCCAGGAACCGGCAGCCATTGGATCAACGATCAATTGTGTATTTGTAGTTCGGGAGCCTTGTAGCTTAGTATTGACGGGAGTTTGAAATGTATCATGAGAAATTTACCCCAGCCGTTGAGTATGGGAGCGTCCATGGGAAGGAAAATAAGGGGCGTCTGACCCCTGAAACGGTTGTCCGAGATGGTGGAGACTGGAGGCGTCATCTGCCAGCTGGGTCAAGTGACAGTTCATGCGTGTTGAATTGAAAGATGATGCTCATGTTAGACCAAAGTGTCATCTATATTCTGTTCAGAGGAAATACGTGTTGATACCTCGTAACTTAAAATCCCCTGACTTGTTGACCAGTCGCGACTTCTCAAGCCTTCGTCATAGTCTTGCCAAGGCGGCAGTTTCCAAACAAGTTTTCTCTCTCACCACCCTCATCTCCATCCACTGTTAAGGCAAAGATCTCGTCAACACTTCACCTCCTAAAGGCTCTTCACTGCTTCATAACTACAAGTATTTCACAGTTTACTACCTCCTTCAAGCATTTCGTGTGGTTGACGACTAAACATGACTGACTCAGGACCTCCAAAGCTTGATCAAATTTCGCAAAGCTCCGGATTCAACGTTCCCACAATGTCCAGCATGAACGATTCAATGCAAGACACGAAGGGAAGCCTCTATGACAGTCAGGTAGAATTTACCCTTTCGCAGCCGGGGAATGTGGACTAATACCTCTGTGGCAGTATTCCGAGCTGCTCGCGTGACCCTGGCAAAACTTGTTGACAATCGACCTAGATGCTCAATCTGCTGCCAACACGATCCAGAATCATCCTGCTACACAGAGTGTGAAAGATGCAATGGGCAACGGCCCCGTTGCGGACCATGTCAAGGACCAGCATGCAAAGACTACGTCCGAATTCCGTAGTCTTGCTGACTCTCGCACCACTCCCGAGCAGTCTACGGCAAATGGGCAGCCGTTGACTCGTAAGTCGAATATCCTCATGAAACCTAAATATCGTTATAGATCCTGACAGCCTTGGCAGATTACCATTCGTTCTTCTACAATCTCCTAAGCGTATGTCAATGCCCTTCCCTTGTCACCGTCGTCGCGGTTGCTAGCCGACCCAAAACCCTAAATAGGGTCTTTGAATACTCGATCATCGGCAGTCTGAGCCACTTCAAGGATAAGAGTTGTGGTGCACTGCAAGGCCAGAAGGCCACCACAGCATGTCAAATAAGGAATGGGAGCAAGAAGCTGATCGTTACTACAGTGGGAGAATCCCCGTGCAACGACGCTATCCTTTGTTTCGATTGTACTCTCCATCTTCGCAGCCCGGTACTTGCCCGCCCTACGCTGGTCGTTCAAGGCCTTGTGGATGGTACTTGGGAGTACGTTCTAATCATTCTACAATGAGTCGATGCAGTAGCACTGACAGCAGTACAGTCACCGCCTCTGCTGAAATCGCTGGAAAGCTTGTCCTCTCCCAAGGCCTAGCTTCTTCCTTCCGACCCAAGAAATACTACACAATTCCAAGGGAGGCTCTTGAGGCATCGCTGGAGGACATCGAGCAATTCATCAATTTCTTCGTCATTGAATTCCAACGTGTCCTCTTTGCCGAAAACGTCGTCCACACCGTTGCGGGCTTCGTCGCAGCTCTTCTCTCCTACTGGCTCATCAAGGTCGTTCCATTCTGGGGCCTGTCCCTCATCGCCGTCTCATGCATCTACATGGGACCCTTAATCTACATGACGAACAAGGAGCTCATCGACCACCACGTCAAGAACGCGTCCGAGGTCGCTAACGCCCAAGCGAATCAGCTCAAGGATCTTGCTGGCCATCATACCGCTCGTGCTCACGAGACTGTCAAATCTTATGCCGGAGACTACAGCGCCAAAGCCCAGGAGTACATGGGTAATGCTCGTGGCCGCTCCACTTCTCCTGAAGTCAATAGCTCCAAGCCTACGTCCGACGCACCAGTCAAATCTGAGCCGGGCAGCGACCTTAGCGCCTCCGACTTCCCCCATGCTCCCAAGCAGGTAAAGCTCTTCATGCCCCTTCGAGCTGTCTCAATGCTCGGGTTTTCGCCTCCAAAAAGATATGCTGACTCGCAAAATGTAACAGGAGCCTACGTCTGGCGTCACTTCCCACCAGGAGCAATACAAGAACTCCCAATTTGGTGGACAGGCTGAGCCAGCCTACTAGATGGTGCCGTATTAATGGCAAGAGCAGGCGGTGCTGAGGGCACGCAAACAAGGGATGCAGCCCATGAGGGTGGCGACTCGAAGTGGACACTAGGACCTCTAGACTGATTTGAATTGCGGTAGCGATAAGGTACATGAGGATTATGCTGGGTTCGGACCCGAAAGGATGTACCAATGAGCGGTCTCTACTTGTACTTTAAACCTTTTAGAAATGCTTGTTTGTCGAAATTCGTCAGTGCGTACTCGCATATTGTGGTATCAACTAGCAAGTGAGCACCTTACCATCGAAGCCCAGCCAGGTATTTTTGGACGACGAAGCCATAAGACATTGGTAACGTCTGAAGAAGTGCTTTCTCACAATGTTTACATCGATTCTCCCACAAAGCAACATAAGAGGCGAAAATCCATATGTTTGGACGACACTGCCACGTGCATTCAACAGCCACTTCTGACGAGCATTACCAGCGTGACAAAGCTGATGAGATGCATTAGATTTACCTCCCTATGCAATCGTGAGCCATCCAGCAGCCACTCCTCAAGCGAAGGTTATGAATCGAGTGATCATTCAAGAGTAGGCTATAATCACGTAAGTACCACCACTCTCGCAGATTGAGTCCAAGACTCACAAAATGCTGCTAATTAGCTGCGCAGGTCCCCACTCCCATAATCGTAGAGAAACTTTTATCACCCACTCCAGTCTAAGGACGTTCCTGCCTTTGGTCGAGTATTAGTCGAGCATTGAATTGGCCAATATTCAGATCGTTTATAGAAGCCTCTTGTCAATGACCTCCAAAGCACCATAGATCCCATTCTCAGCCGTTTTGAAACACTCGTTCAGATCAGCTAAATGGTCTGTGATATACTGGAGCTGGAGCTTGCCGTCGAGCTCCCAGCGTCGACGAAGGGTCTCTCGGTCCACAACAAGGGCATGAGCACTAGCACGCAGCTTGCTCGCGATCTTCGCCAACAACCCGAGGCTTTCACGGTGGATGTCTTGCTCTCGCGAAGGGCGGAGGTTCTTGCGGCGTTTCTGGGAGTTCTTGGAGCCAGTGCCACAATTTGTGATGTCTGCAAGGGCTGGTCGCGAGGATAGACGACGACTAGGGATGAATTTGATAGTAGGGTTTTCATCCTGAGTAAGGTCGATGACATTGGGTGTAGCGGGTGGTTCGATTTTTGCTCGCTTTGGTGACGAGGAGAGGAGGTCAATGACATCCGCGTTCCGTTTATTCGATGCACGAGGTCCCAAGGCCACGTTGTTTGTGCCTGTGGCGGGCGTGCGTGCCGAACGAGTGGTTGAGTTGATATTCTTGATGAGTTCCTTGGCACTCACAACAAAGGCTGGTACCGAAGGGGTTCTGACGGCGTCTCGGTAGGCTTGGGTGACTCCTTTCCGTTCTCTCATGAGGTCAGCTTTCCAATGATCGGGATAGATATCGGATCTAAAAGCCGCAGGTCCCGTCCAGCGATCGGGGTAAGAGACTGGTGTATCGACAGCACGGACGGCATCAATGAGGCCTTTGAGCTTGGGCCTATGGGTTTTTCCGAGTCAGCCTTCGTTCTTCAAGGGCGGGCCAAAGCAAGAAATCGGAGCAACGTGACAGCTTCAGGGGGCATGAAGAGCCTTTGGCTTCCAGAACGTGTCTGATCGCCCGTAAAGTGGTCCGAAACACATACCAATTGCTGCAATCAAATCCCGCTCTGGCTGCGGCCTCAGCGATTGGAGCATCAGATAGCTTCAAGCTGGGGTCTATAGCTGGGTAAGTGGAGTGCTGTAGTGAGAGAGAAAGCCTTACTTACGACGAATCTGGAGGTATTGATTGCCAGGTCCTGTGACTAGATGGGCGGACAAACACTGGTCTTGAGACAAAGGACAGCCTCCATTATTGAATGCGTAGCACGCGAACATTGATGGCGGCGATAGGGCACCTGTTATAGTATGGCTGTATCTGCATTGGTGATCCAGGCAACCAGCGGGGTCAAGTAACCAATGCCGGCATGTCACCCTGGCCTCTGCCCTCGACTGGAAGACAATCATCCGTCCTGAAGTCACGACTGCGGGTACCAGGCAGTTAAAAGGGGTTGATGACTGTTTTCTTTATCCCGAACAGAGATGTCAATGGAAGAAATGGTGATTATCAACAGGTAGCTGAAAGATGTCATTGGCGGGTCGTCTAGTGTAGCGAGAAGGCAGATGAAGTGTATGGAGCCTCCGAAGATGATGTTTGGAGAGTGATACCGATGGCAAGAGATGTTGATGTTGAGCAAGTGGAGGAGGTGATACTTAGGCACACGCTAAGGAGACCCGACGCGTTGAATTCAACAATGTTCGAGATATTTACCTGCAGCAGTCTTAACTTTCACGTGGGCTCGATTGCAAGATGAGGCATCTTTCTAGACTAGCCTCGTTCATCGTGCCTTCCTCGACTCCTTCAATCTGCACATGAACGTCCCACACATGCCACCCAACTTCAATTGACTACAGTCAAAGCAATCCTCTCTGCACATAGCTTTGGCCAATTCTCAATAGCTCCTTGGAAGTCCTAACACCTTCTCACCGATATAATTCATGATCATTTCCTGTATGTCGTCAGCAAGTAATTCTCCATTGGGGTGGTAGCCATGTTCGTTACTTACTCTGCTCACAGGTGCGATACGAGGAACGAAACATTCTCTCATGTACCTCTCGACGTGATATTCTTGCGCATATCCCATGCCACCATGAGCGAGTACCTGCCACAATTCAATCTCTGTTCCCCGAGTCTCAGAAATTGAAAGGGCTTACGGATCTTTCACAGGCAGTGAACGCAGCTTCGGCAGCAAGATATTTGGCAGAATTGCAAGCTACGCCTACTGCATGAGGCGTCACATAGGGATCCTTGCCGCTCGAGTCATACACCCTGGCTGCATGGTACGTTGCAAGCTTGGCAGCTTCGAGGTTCATGTAAGCCGCGGCAAGAGGATGCTGGATGCCTTGATTCTGGCCGATGGGTCTCCCAAAGACTACACGCTCTCGTGCATACTTCGAAGCCTTCTCCAATGCGGCGTAGCCCAGGCCCAATGCCTCTCCAGCGAGTAAACAGCGCTCAGCATTCATCCCGTGGAGAACCTAGCAGTGGTCAGTCTCCATACATCCGTCACTAATCTAGACCTTCTTCTCACAATCTTGAAGCCTTGCCCTTCTTCGCCTATCAGAGTATCTGCTGGGACTCGGTAGTTGTCAAAGAACACTTCGTTAGCATCAACAGCTCTGCCTCCCATCTTCTTGATCCTCTTCAGTTCAAGCCCAGGAGCATGTCTATCGAAATCAATGAAAAACAAAGACAGGCCCTCCGATGGCTTCTTAAGTTCTTGCAGAGGTTCTGTACGAGCCAACAATATCATCTTTGATGCAACTTGGGCGGATGAAATCCATATCTTCTGGCCCGAAATATTGTAAGAGTCCCCGTCACGAACCGCTAGGGTCTTCAACTTCAGGGTTTCTAGCCCAGTACTGATCACACCTAGCGTAAGTCATTGCCGACTGCGGAGACGTTGTCTATTTGTCTCCTGACCTTGGCTCCGTCACCCCAAAGCATGCTTTCCACTCACCACTGATCAACCTAGGCAGCATACTCTTTCGTTGATCCTCTTTGGCGAATTTGGCAACCGGTTGTGTGGCATATACATTTGCATGGATTGACTGAGCTCCTGCTATGCCGGCACCGCTTTGTGAGATGGTCTGAAGCATCATTGTGGCTTCAGATATACCAAGTCCAGCACCGCCGAGATCCTCAGGCAATGCGATTCCAATCCAGCCATCTTGTGCAAGAGCTGCATGGAGTTCATGTGGATACACGCCAGATTCATCATGTCCCGCCCAGTACTCGTCTGGAAATTTGGAGCAGATCTTGGCAACAGCTTCTCGAACATCTAGCTGTTCTTGAGAAAAGCCTGTGAGCTCCATGATCCTGTGCGGGTTACTAGTAGAGAAAGCGCGGGACAGATTTACGGGCAGCGAACGGTGCGCTGAGAGCCTACTTGGCGGAAGGCATTTCGACGGCAAGTGAAGGAGCTTCCTCGCAAATCGAGGCATCTTGTTCGACATCGATAGATGAAAGCCAGGCTAAGCGATTCATGCCACATATGGCACGTCACCGTGAATGAGGCCTGTTGGTTGTAAAGAAGAGATGTAGTTAGCCAATGGAAGAGATGTTGCGATTTGAGCGGAGAGGGAGAAGAAAAGCGAATCATGTGACTTCGAGCGTAGGGCTGATTAGCGCGGTGTAGATCAAAACAAACCGCAGCGGAGAACCTGAACCTCATACTAACGATTCGCCATAACAGCAATACGGCTTTGCGATTGCTTCCGTAGCAGTGCGCTCGGCTGATGTTTGCATCATACTAAACTGCATCTTCATGACAGCGGCGCACCCAGCGAGATAGCAATCCCACTCCCTCTTTGCTCGCTCAACACCAAATTCATCATGGCAGCAGTCCGTTCCCGAGCGCAGCAGATAGGATCTCAACAATGGATCAATGATGAAAATGATCAGGTCACTCAATTTTGTACCCAAGAAGCAGAAGACTTCACGTTCTCAGCTCGCAATGAGGTCGAATGGCTCAACGAGCATATGGCGGAGATTTTCAGCAAGAATCAAGTGTACGAATGACAGTCTGGGAAGATGTTGGACTCGCTGATCGCGAACAGAAACGTTACGGAGATCTTCAAAACTCCGGGCAAATTACGCGGCAAGACTCCACGAACAGCAAGGAAGCGAAATCCGTTGGAGGTTCGAGAGGTGAGTATCTGAAGGGCCCAGCTACCAACGAGTACTAAAATCTCTTGCAGCCTTTGACTGACATTTTCCTGACCAACGCGCAGCGCGCCAACAACCCTTCTCATCAGGCCAGCCCCACGAGGGCTGCTCCTACATTCCAAGTTGCTGAAGAACCCATCATACTTGTCGAAATTGAGAAGGAAACGAAGGCGAACGCAGACTCGGGCTATCATGGACTTCCAGAAGATGACATGGATACTGATCAGGGTTTGGCAGTAGTGCCATCATCAGCTGAGACCCACGATACGCTGGAAGAGTTCCCTCCAAAGTCACCCTTGCGAGGACATCCAAACGTGGCAGACCAGTCGGAGCGTCACAGCACCACGGAGAGGTCCTTTCATTCAGCGAAAGAGGAAATTTCAAAGGGTGATGTCACCATCGCAAGCCCACAAAAGAATGAGCCTCCAGTTGCAGACGTCGAAGATCCCGCGGAACCTACCAAAGCACCTTCGCCTGGACTCGCGCCTGTTCCAGACCATGTCTCAGATGATGTGATGGAAACTGATAATTTGGACAAAGATCTGGATGAGGATCTCGTTGTGGATGAGTCGCGGTCGCCATCTCAAGGATCGAGCCCTGCTAGACCTCTCGTCCGCAAGAGTAGCCTCACTTTCGCGGCTTTGCCCGCGCGTGAACCCTTGACAACGAAAAAAAGCATAGGGGCAAGGGCTTCTGGAACTAGCCACTTGGACCAGTCAAAGACGCGTGGTAGCTTCCTTGGGAGATTCACTGGTGGGAAATCTCTTGGCGGCTCAAGGCAGCCCGAGCCTGATCATGAAGATGAGATCAACGATGACATGGATGTTGATAAGGAGAAGCCGGCACTCAATCGCGAAGAGTCGGATGGAGAGTCTAAGATGGCTCAGCTCCACAACAAATCCTCTACACAGCGTCTCCACGATAGAATCAACATGCTCGGAAAGTCACAACCTGCTCGACCAACGAAATCAATCCCCGCAGCAGCTGTTGTGACAAGTCTCAACTACCCAGAGCTACCAAACCCAGAGCCACAAACAGAGATGGTTCAGCAGACTTCGTTTCTCCCTTTGAAGACAGTGACTGCCCCAGTATCTAACGATGAAGATGACGATGACTGGATCCAGCCACCTCAGGTACAGCCAAGTGCTTTGAACCGACCGCAGCTATCCAAAAGTATTTCCGTAGATGTCATGGAGGACATCAGGGGAAAACAAACTATTGGTGGCCAGGATTTTGGTCATAGTCGAAATGATGAGCCAGCTACAAAAGCGCCGTCTCCGTTACGCCATGCTCAGGCGCAGAGAACTCGAAGTAGTGGACAATGGCTCTCGAGGGCAGCCACGGTTTCCCAATCTACACCCCTAGCGGAAGCTACTGAAGGGGCTGCTACAAAAGCTGTACGTGCAACCACAGCATCGGGATGGAATGGTTCAACGCCTACAGACCAGTCAACGACTCCGCTTGGCAGCCCATCTTCGAGACGGTATGTTGATGGACCCTTGAGCGCTTCCAAGTCGAAATTGCAATCAATCATGAAGACTGCTCGAGGCTTATTCTCAAGTAGTGCCGGTGTGTCCGCGCAAGCTAGGATGGAGACCCTTTCGCCCCTTTCGACACGCACTCACGGCGTTACACACGCGCCATCATTCAGTAATGTTTTGAGAAGCAAGTCTCCGAAAGGCTGTTTGAACAACTCAGTGAGTAACACCGATGTTCGGAAGACTCGAAGCTCCACGGAGAAGGAGGAAAGAAGGAAGGAGTCAGAAGCAAGGGAACGCCGACGAACTGAAGAAGAGCTAGAAAAAGCCAGAGAAAATGAGGGTCCAGAACTTGTGACGCAGAAGCTTGTGCAGCCGCAAGGCCCTCAGGTAGAAGCGAAGACCAAGCCAACAAGGCAGAGCCCAAGGAAAACGCAAACTCACGAAAGTCCTAAAGCCCAACCGGATGTTGTTGAGGACGACTTACCATCTCAACTAATGGGTCCACCAGCGCCGCATGCCCCAACGCAACAGTCACAGTTGCAAAAGCCCAGCAATGTGAGAAGACCCATTAAGCCTGCCAAAGAGACAGCTCCCAAGCCAAAGCCACAACCTGTGGCTATTCGTGTTGGCACGCTCTCGCAGAGGATCCCGCTTAGTAACGCCGCGCTCTCATCAAGTCTGCAGGAGTCCTTGCCCCAATCACAGCCAAAGCAGCCAGCAGTCGGGAGGATGCCTAGCAACGCTTCACTTCAGACCTCAGCTTCTAACAGTAGCCTCAAGAGCTCTGCGACATCCGCGGCACCTAAGCCCAAAGCTCTACTCGCAGCAGAGCGGAAGAAAGAACAGGTGTGTCTCCGCGAGGCCAGATGAGTTATCGCATGCTAATTCTGAAGTAGGATGAGAGGGAGGCACAACGCAAGCTTGATCAGAAACGTGAGATAGAACGTAAAAGGGCTGTTCAGCAAGAGGAAGCGAGACGACAAGAGCAGCAACAACGTGAGGAAGCAGAGAGGCAGCGTGAACGAGAGCGTGCTGCGGCTGCTGAGGACCCTAAGAAAATCGCACAGAAGCAAGCAATTGAGAAGAGAAGAATGGAGCTGAACAAGAAAGAGCAACAGCAACGGGTGCCGCAGAGGCCAGCAATGGATCAGGTACGCCAACTCTGACGTTGATTTAATTTAGCAATGGCTGATTTTGAAGGCACCTATCTCACAGTACGCACATGCTACCTCGGCAAATCGTCCGGATATGGGTGGCGCCAGGCCTCCATCAAGGCTGCATAACGCGCCGCCTCATCCAAGCTTTCCTAATGCTCATCCTCAGAATCCAGCGAAACCAGCCAACAAACGAGTCTTCAACCCTGACACCGATGACGAGCCTCCTCGACAGGTTCGCCCGCAAGGTGGTCCTTCATATCAACAGAACGACGGTAAACGGCGGAGGACAGAAGACGAAGAATTGCAGGAAATCAGAGTTCGACCGACAATGGCGCCTCCCATCCGCCAATCAGGGATTCGCAAGGATGGTCATAAGGCGTCAATATTCGGCAGCAATTACACAACAGCACCACCGCCTGCGCCTCACCATCATAATGCACCATCTCTGCTCAAGACGACCACAGCAAGCCAAGCGTACCAACAGCACGCCCATCAAAACCAAATGTCACGACCAGGCCACCATCCTGACATAGCCAAATACACCAACGGCAAAATCCCCTTCGCCGAGGCCCCCAACCCCCCACAAGCAAATCACAAGACCCCACTTCCCTCCAAACTCGCTCCCCCACCAGCAAAAGCCTCCCCTCATTATCAGAATGGTGAGAACATCCATCTCGACGACATTCCCACGGAAAGCGAAGAATCAGACTCGGAGGACGAAGCGGAAAAGGCGAAGAAGGGCGCGAACCTTCCCGAGTGGGCCCAATCACCCCAATTGCGCCAACTCCTAATGACACAAGATGAGAATATGGACGCGGATGCCGTCTTTGGGCCCGTGGCGAGTCCGCATATGGAGGAGATGTTCAAAGAGAGGCATCATCGGTTCAGGTCAAGGACGAGTAGCGCAAATTGGGCGGGCGCTGATCGGTTAACAGAGGAGGAGATCAGGAGGGATGTGGAGGCGAGGCAGAGGTTGAGGAGGGAGGGCGGGTGGACTTTTGGACTGTGACCGTGTGCTCTATACATTCACTGACTCTCCGGTGCATGCCTGTGCATTTCACCTCTGTTGCAAGCCAGAATCCCTGCGTTCAATTTGGGCAGCGACAGTATCAGTGAAGGGTGCACCGATGTCTGGAGAAGAAGGGAAGAAGCATGCCGCTCATGCCAATGAGTGTAGATGGGACCGTGGTAGCAGCGAATGGATCTGCTAGGTTTCGAAGTATCGAGGTATATGGGCAACAGCCAGCGCGTTTGGGTGCCTCGGAGAACCCTTTTTTCTTCTCTACCAACTGCGTTGGATAGCCAACGGTCCACTTGCATTGTTCATGGGCGTCATAGCATGTTACGGTGGAGTATGGGAAGGTGGCTCGCAGGACGTTAATACATGATTTCAATTATCGGCGCGTTAACCGTCATGTTTCACGGACCGTGTGCTGTCGTTCGCTTCCAGGCTGGTAATCTTCAGGTGCAGGCGGGCGTCATTCTATTGACACGATGAGATCACATGGC